GGGTGAAAGGGCCAAAGTCCAAGTGGACTAAAATGGCAGACATCGTCTCATCAAACAGAAACTGAAGTTGGCGTTATCTTTCAATCTGAATATATAAATAAACCGCCTGGTTTCCTGTTGCAACATGTTTGTATTGCAAGAAGTATGTGGTTGGTTCTGTGAAGCTAGCGCTCGAGGAGGCCGTGCTTGTTTACACTTTTTCAGTGTGGAGCCTTCCTGAAGGTTGGAGCACATTTGAAAGAATACTGACCTAAAGAAGTATACCTTCCTGTTTATTGTGTGCATTTGCATTCTGTTTACAACATCAGCAGTTGACTTACTTTCTTTTAACCTCAGTCCCCACATAAAGCACAGTATCAGTCACCTGCTCTACCTTAGTTCCCTCTGGCCTCACCCAGCGCCTTCCTGTGAGCCCCGCCCCCTCTCTCTAGCTCCATAGCAACAGCAGCACAAAAGCAGATCTCTAACTTGTTCAGCCAGGTTAGGTATCATATAGCTTCTCTCCTTTTACCCTCCCCCACCCCTCGATTCTGTGAAAGACTGCAGGAATGAAGGCGTGCCGCTCGCTGTGAGGCACCTGTTGCAGGTACCGACATGTCGGTGTTCAGTTTGCTTCAGTGGGGCGAATTTAAAGCTTACTTTAGATTTCTACAGTTTCCTACAGAGTGAGGATTTTTATATGAATGTCTGGGATTTACACCAGTGGCTCAAGCAAACTTTCATTTCCAGGACACAGGATTTCCAGGATTTAGATACAATGTATTCCATGTCACAAATAAATAGAGCCTGATTATTCTCACTGTATACCGGATCAAGATAATACTAGGAGTACCTTACATTAAACTGTCATGCCTTTCCAGTTTGTCTTCAGGTTTATATCAGATTCGGTTTCGTGTTCTGTCACACCAGCAAACAAAGAAAAACGTTACAGTTCTCTGGAATCTCTGTTCAGTGACCAACGGATGTTTTCAACAACATGCTAAAAACACATTTCCTACATCTTCTCACCTTCTTTTTACATACTTTTTAAGAAATACACATTTCTTAGAGCTGAGTTCACACTGCTGAATTTTCCTTAAAAAAGACCCCTTAGCCATTAGTGTGTGTGCGATTTTGTTTTATTATCCACACCTTTTTTCAGTTAAAACTGCTTTCTCATTCAGACTTGACAGCCATCAAGGCTCCGTTGTGAATGTTTACTCACCATATTGTTTACTGGAAAAATGGGCAGTGGTGTTTCATCACTGTCTTCCACTTTGACCTGTTCACAGCACAGTTTTCATTTACCTTCAATATTGTTCCTGACATGAACCGAGGATTTTTCTGTGTGTGTGTGTGTGTGCGTGTGTATGGAGGTGGAAAGTTTCTGATGAATAATTAGACTGGACTGGAACCTTCTGGGCAGAATAAAATGAAGCCAATGGAAAGTGCAGTTCCTCACATGGCCACTTGAGGCTGGATACAAAAGTGTTAAAATGCCAAATTTTGACTTCATAACAAGTAAACAAGGAGGGTTTTTTTTTTTAATAATACCTAAGATTTTATATGTTAATACCTAAAGTGGGGCAGTTTGTGCAGATGGCCACCGAACTGTGCAACGGACTCAGTATAGAGGAATGTGTGTCATAAAGAAACAGCTGTACATAAAGTACACTTTTCCATACTTCCACAAAAGCTGTCAAGTAACATTCTGAGTCGAAACCTCCTGCTGATTCAATCCACTGACCTCACGAGAAAGGCCTTATGTATTTGTACATGATTAAAGTTTTACCACTCTCCTGGCTGTTCAGTAACCAGGAGCACAAAGAGGACAATCTGGTTCCTTTACAACAACACAACCCACCAAGTCCACAGTTCTTTTCCCTCACATCTACTGCAAAAAGTTGCACACAGACAGCCCCAGATGAGGTGGTTTAAACACATTTTAAACAGCTGTGCTCCACTTCCATCTGGTTACCTGTTATTGCCTCCCGCTTTCATCATTATGCATGACTGTAACACTAAGAGTTTCACTTCCTGCTGGGGCCACTCTGCCCTACAGGAAGGCAGGAAACAACAGGCGCCCTCTTTAAATGATTTTTTTTAATAACAATTGATCATTACCTCCTCTGCACTGTGCATTACGTTCTAAAGACAGGAATACAAAAATTAACTGAACACACAGAAATGTACCAGGTAACACTGATTGATAGAGACGTTTCAGAACATTTGCTCAGTCTGTCAATAAATACTGTTGATTTTTCTCCTTGGAGTGACAAAATGAAAGCAACACAATCATTAGGGACACAAAAAATGTTAAGCAAAGCCTCTTAGTGCTTCTTGGCCCCATTGTACCTTTGTATAAAGCCTTTAGCTCCAGTTTGAGCCACAGATCTCATCAAGTGTTCTCTGAGGAAGGTACCAAGGCGCTACATGGTGATACCTGCAAATTGCTGCTACCTCAGCTGGTCTGCGATATTAAACTGCACTCAACAGATACGTTTTTGTTAGCGCCCGGCTCGTCACGAAGGGGTAACCGTTCCACTTATTAGAATTTAGCTGGGCTAAAGTGCACAGATGAAACCATGCAGCAAAAGATCCTACGTTTCTAATGTAAATTAAGACCAGGGTGTACGTCTTTGCGCCATCACAGCAGAGTGGGGGCCTTGCTGGGGCGTCCCAGAGCTGGTGGGGATTTGCTCCTCAACTCTTTGCTCTTCAGGCTCACGGGCTGGGCCACCATCAGGGCCGGAGCAGAGAGGTGGTGGGCGGCGGCCTTCTGCTGATGTGCGCTGTTGATGTAACTGAAAATGAGGAGCGTGACCTCCCTGATCTGTGGACAAAACAAAAACAGAGATGCATTCCAGTTTTTGTACATCTCATAGACTATATATAAAAGATGGACATGGTCTTTGCATCTAATAAGTGAAGCCAGTGCAGAAGCGCTTGTATCTGCAGGAGGGAAAGTCCTCTGTTTGCAGAGAGAAGTCGACTGTATAGAAGGAAAACAACCCTGATCTGTGACCTCAGATAGATGAAGTAAGTTTGTTTGTAGTCCCAGTTGTGGGTTTCAGGTCTTCTCTATAAATACATTATCTAGTACCAACTTTGCATTTGTTTATAATGTGGTAAGAAACTCACAGCAGCTAAAGGATTTAAGCCAAATTGTCAGCGTAAAAGATTCAAACATGAAGCTAACTCCAGCACCAAAGTGTCATTCACGAAACATTTACCAGACCCAAGACATTTTTATTTTGTCTGTATCCAAAGAATGTAGTATAGACATGAACAAACCTCCTTTTTTTATGTCAAAAAGACACTAGCATTGTTTTAAATTAAAAAGACCAAATGTTACTCAATGGATAAGACAAAGCTTTAGCTTTAAAAGAAGGTAAAACAGATGAACTTGTTTGAATCATGCAGTATTTGTTCTGCTGTGATTTTCTGTGAAGTTCAACAGTTTGTTTTCTTCCCTTTTTCTATAGAGAACTGGAGAATAGAGGAACAGTGGTTAGCACTGTTGGTTTACAGTAAAAAGCCCTGGGTTCAAATCCACCGGCAGGCTGTGTGGAGCCTGCATGTGCTGCCTCTTGCTCTGTGCGTTCTCTACAGGTACTCCAGCTTCCTCCCACAAATAACCACAGACATGAATGTAGTGTTAGCTGATGATTCTAAATTGGGTGTTGGTGTGGATGTGAGCACGCACGGTTGTCTGTCTCACTCTGTGTTAGGCCTGCAATAGTATAGACCTATCCAGGGTGTGCCCTGCCTCTCTTCCCATGACACCCTCCCCACAACCTTCGGCTAAGTGCAAGAAATGGATGGATGTTAAAAACTAATAAAGGCATTCTTAAAAAAACACTAAACTCACACATTTTGTGATTAACAACATAGCTAACACCAAAAACACTCACCTGAAGGATTCACAAAGAATCAGACAAACATCTTTTACATAATGTCTCTGTTATTTCTTTGTGTCGTGCCTTTAATTTCCCAGAGAAATCTGTTACGTTCTGTTTCACTTTGGTCAACTCCACTCATTACAGGTAATGAAGAGTCAGGCAGGAGTTAATTGTCTAACTTGTCCTGTTGTTTTGCAACATGTACTGACACATACTGAGATAGAATGAGTGGAATGAAAGGCAGCAGTGTGACACAGTTTTAACTTTTACTACGACAACAAATGTGCTATCCGTTTTAAGAATACAAACTCTGCGTGGCCGTCTGGACTGTCGCCCTCTGGCCCTCTCACTGACCTTGGAGGGGTCCATAGCAAACAGATGTTTCTCTGTAGGTTTGTCTTTGCTGGCATTAGTGCCGACGTTCTGACCCATCACCAGCATAAAGTCCTGCTTGCAGCCTCCAAATGTCATCAGGTTCTTGTAGGAGTAGCACACCAGCAGTTTCTGAGTATCAGACACAAAAATAAATTGTAGTAACAGAATTTGATTAAAAAATAGGATGTGAAATGTAAAAACTGAATTCTG